TAGCAGCAAACACATCCTCTTCAAGAGAAAAACAACCAATCTCAAATAGCAGCAACAAACACTATCCTTCCACTTCAGCATTATTGTTCAATTTCAGTGTTCGTTGTTTTCCATAAAGTGAAACGGAGCCCACAAGTTTTCCCAAATGGGGAAAAGAGGAGCTTGTGAAGTAGGTGTTGTCAAGCATTTTACATATCCAGAAAGAGGTATACAAATGTTCTCTCCTGCCTCCAAGACTTCTCTAAATGCAACACACACATTTAAATTCTGCACTTAAAATATTGCAGTTGTGTGGTGTTCTTTCTCCATAATTTCTGCCTTTAATCGTGTCCTCAAGTTGTTTGGCCATACCCATGACCATGTCCTCATGTTGCTCAGCCATGAGTCTTGCCAATCTACATTCACATTACTATTTTCAAATGTGAAATGTTCAAAGATATGCTCTAATTAAATCAGTTAAACAAGACTTAGCTGTATACACTTTTTGCAAGACCTAGAATATTTAAATTGCTTCAACTGTATTTGCACATTATTTTGTACATAATAAATCATTCAGATTTTGAATTATTGCTGGTGTGTTCATTGCTTTGCTCAAATTCTTTTACTATGCACACCAGATTGCTTTGTTTATTTCTGTATTATTAACAAACTGCTTAATTTGTTTCAGTTTAAGTTTATTCTCTGCTCAGTGTCACTGGCTAGGCTTTATCTCTTTACTGAGCAATAGAATCGCATATTTGCAAATTATAGGACAGAAATTTTTCAGAGTAACACAGTTTTTATAAGATGTGCTCTCTCTCTCTGTGTGTGTGTGTTTGAGTTACTAGAATTACAGTCGTGCCCCGCTTTACGATTGCCCCTCATTACGACGAAACCGCATTATGATGACTTTTTCGCGATCACTTTCGTGATCACAAAACGATGGTCTGAATAGGATTTTTTCACTTTGCGATGATCGGTTCCCTGCTTCAGGAACTGATTCTTTGCAAAACGACGATTTTCCTACGGTGGTTTCAAAATAGCCGCCAGGTAAATAAAATGGCTCCCCGCTGTTTTCTGCGATGGAATCCTCGCAAGACAGCCACCGAAAATGGCGAGCCTATGGAGGATCTTCACTGGATGGTGAGTTTTTAGCCCATTGGAATGCATTAAACAGGTTTTAATGCGTTTCAATGGGTTTATTATTTTCGCAGTATGATGTTTTCATTCTACAGCAATTTCGCTGGAACGAATTAACGTCTTAATGCGAGGCACCACTGTAGTGATGTGGCATTAAATTCTATTGAGATGTCTTAGATTAGGCTAAAGTGATGGTAATGCTGAATGAGAGTGCAGCAACAGATATTGTGCAACTGCCCAATTCAGCATTTCATCGTCGTCGTTGTTTAGTTGTTTAGTCGTGTCCAACTCTTTGTGACCCCAAAGAGCAGAGCACACCAGGCCCTCCTATCTTCCACTGCCTTCCGGAGCTGTGTCAAATTCATGTTGGTTGCTTCAATGACACTGTCCAACCATCTCATCCTCTGTCGTCCCCTTCTCCTCTTGCCTTCACACTTTCCCAACATCAAGGTCTTTTCCAAGGAGTCTTCTCTTCTCATGAGATGGCCAAAGTACTGGAGCCTCAGCTTCAGGATTTGTCCTTCCAGTGAGCACTCAGGGTTGATTTCCTTTAGAATTGATAGGTTAGTTCTCCTTGCAGTCCTCCTCCAGCACCACAATTCAAAGGCGTCAATTCTTTGACGGTCAGCTTTCTTTATGGTCCAGCTCTCACTTCCATACATCACTACTGGAGAAACCATAGCTTTGACTATTCGGACTTTTGTTGGCAAGGAGATGTCTCTGTTTTTTAAGATGCTGTCTAGGTTTGTCATCACTTTCCTCCCAAGAAGCAGGTGTCTTTTAATTTTGTGGCTGCTGTGACCATCTGCAGTGATCAGGGAGCCCAGGAAAGTAAAATCTGTCACTGCATCCATATCCTTCCCTTCTATTTTCCAGGAGGTGATGGGACCAGTGGCCAT